ACCCTAAACCCTAAACCCAATGCGGCACCCAAACTTGACGGGCTCACGCCAAAAATCTTCTCCCGGCCGGTCACGAAGGTGACGGCTGTGCCCTGGCGGCCAATTCTTCCAGTACCTCATCTCAAAGGTCTGAGGGCAATGGGGTTTAGGGTTTAAGGCTTTAGGGTTTAGGGTTTAGGGTTGGGTGGGGTTTATTGGCTTTATATTGGGGCGATGTTGGGTTTATATGGGGTTATATTGGTTTTACATTGGGATTATATTGTGGTCATATTGGGTAAATTGGGCCCTTGATTCTTCGGGACTTATGTGCCTCGTAAGTAGATACACATGCTATTTGTGCATTTTGGCCTGGAATTATTCATAACGTGCCTCCAAGAAATGGCCTGTCATACGGTCCGCATTAGGCAGGCCTTCCTGCGCCTGCTCTTCAAGTTCTTACGGTTTAGGGTTTAGGGTTTAGGGTTCAGGGTTTCGGGACTGGACCATCACAATCTTGAGGAGCAGGAGATATAAAGACATGACGGTAATTTCGTGCGATTAGATATCGGGGACATACGTGGAGAAGCATTTTCCACGCCCCTTCTTGCCGAAGTAGTCCCCGCCTCAACAGAAATTCGGAAGTGAACTGTATCCTGGGAATTTCAGATACTGGGGATCCATAAACACTAAACTATTGGCGCAAGCTTTCCTCCATCCACCCTACACTCTGACACAAGCCAGTTGTAAAGATCTGCCAAAGCACGGCCAATCCGATGGACGAACTCATCGAGGACCTCAGACTTGTAGGGTGCTAGGGTAAAGGGTTTAAGGGTTTAAGGGTTTAGTGGATGAAAAACAAAAGGGAAACGGCTAAATATCATGATGGGGTCATGTAGTGCTGCATCATAGAGCTCCAGTCCTGTACGCCCTGTCAAAAACCCATCAGCAAAAAACAATTCTAGCTATCCAGCTTTACTCTGAGAAAGGCAAGGGATTCAATTATCAAGGTTGTGATTTCTGTTCTTGCCACTGTTCCGTTACGACTAATACCATCAAAATTTGTGACTATTCCTGCGATTACCGCTCGCTGGCGAATACAGAACTATGTGAAGGCCCGTTCCTGATGCAAGTCGTGCCCCTTCCCAGTGCGTGACCAATCGAAGAGGACGCGGCCAGCGGCAGTTCGTAGTTGACGACGTGGGTGACACTTTGCACGTCCAAACCACGGGCCTCAAATGAACAGTCACAATAGTAATAGTAATAGCTAACAACAATAATAATAGCAATAATAATCGTCACAATGGTGATAGTAAAAGTAGTAGCAGAAATACTGATGGCACTTGAAATAGACAAAGTAACAGCTATAATGATAATAATACTGGCACTAGAAATAACAATTGCAATACTAATTGCAGGAATATGTACCAAGAGAAACAGACAGTAATAGTGATTACAACACGTAATTTGATACTTCTAGTACTAGTAGTAATCGTGATGATAATCCTGATAAAATTCATATTCATGGTAACAATGACAACAATTAATATTCGTCATATAAGGGTAACAGGAATCGAGACGGTAATACCGTTCCAGAAAAAATAAGGTTGAAACTATATGCCGACCATATACCCTATATATGCCCTTAAGCCTAAGGGCCCATATTCGGGGCCCATACTTGTAACCATAGATAGTAGTAACAGTGAAAGGTATGGCTAGTCACAATGTCTAATCAAAATACAAACTAACAGCACATGAAACAATGTACAAGTATAAAAGCAGAAGGCAGAGCACTGAAACAGCGGCAATAGTGAATGTAATGTATATGCTTTGAGGGACCCGCCCTGGAATGCGTGTTGATAGTTGGCGGTACAACAATGTGAGATTTCATGCTGTGAGGGCAGAGGATGAATCTTCTTCTCCGTAATCCCTTTGCCGAACGTTCTGATAATATTTTTTGCCGCTATTATCAGTGGTATTACTTCTCCTGGTAAATCAAATGTGATGACTAGTGATGACTTTTACAAAGTCCATTGCTCTTTACCATTACATCAAGAACCCAGGCTCGTGAGAGTTTCGCAGAACGGGCCTCATGTTGGAGCGCTTCTATGCTTGCGTTTGAGAGTCTAAGCCCATGCATATGAGGAGCCGCAGTGGTCCTCCCGGGAAAAGCTATACAAGCCAAACTAGAGCCCTAGGTCCAATGGAGGAATATGGGGCTTCTCAAAAGCGGGCACCTGCAAAAGCCGAGGGATATGGAGCAACTATATCCAGATAGTTAAAGGTCCATGCAGGGCTTAGATGGGCTTTTCAAAACCTCCCAGGCAATGAACATATCTCCCTTTCCAGTGCAAAAGGCCAAATTATCATTGTGGTGACCTCATGAGAAGGATGGCCTATGCCCCCACTGTTTGTGGAACTCCCTTTATAGACAATATCCAGGGATTCTGCCCAACATACTCCAGAAATTTTCAGTCTCAACCGATTCTTCTTCCTGAGGTGTTGACTGCGATGTCTGTAGCCACGAGGATTTCAGCATTTCCTTCCTTCAAGGCCTGGACCGGCAATGCAACAGGGCTCAAAGTCAAAGCTCCTGGGCTCTAAGGCTCTAAAAGTTTCGGTTTTGGGGGAACATTTTAAGGGACCCTATGTGGAAAGGCATATGTATGTGTGTAGACATATGTATACATATAAATATATACATACATACATACATACATACATACATACATATACTGTATATGTGTATACACCCCTCATGGATTTCCTTGTGCTAGTGGGGACACAGGTGCAGCCTATCCCTCACGTGAGCTCCAAGCTCCAAGAAGCCCCATGACAAGAATTAAACCCTAAACCCTTAGGGTTTAGGGTTTAGGGTTTCCATGTTCTTTTCCATTATCCCCATATAACCTCAATTTGCTATAATGGAAAACAAAATTGGAAACTACCAGAAGACTTCAAGAATCATGGTTGAGTCTGGCTGTCCCTCATGTGGACCTTGCTCATGTCTGGAACCCGAAGGGTCCAAGGACCCAAATAATAGGGTTTTAGGGCCCAAGTACCATTTATATTATAGTATTTGGGCCCTAAAACCCTATTGTTTGGGTCCTTGGACTCTTTGGGGAATCTAAACAGTAGAAGACCCTCTTCTCATCAACAAAGCCGCATAGGATTCCCCACAGAGAAGGGCACCACAGAAAAAGCAAGAAACTCTCCCTTGGCTTCAGGTTATGTTGGGGTTATATTGGGATAACGAAGAAGAAAAATGGAAAGTACTATTTCTATGTTTAGGGGTTCAGGGTTAGGGGTTTCGGGTTTAGGCCTTGATCGACTTGCTGCGGAAAGACTGCGTCATACCCCCATGACAGGTCACCACCTCAGTTCAGCATGAGAGGGGTTTGACTGTAATCAGTTGATTTCCTGGAATAGGGTTTGGGACTATGTTACACTATACAGTCACGTTACAATGATAAAGAGCAGAATGTTGGTAATTGTTCTGGCTTCTACACTTGGCTATATACTGCTCCCCAGCCTCAAGCCGTCATACATACGACCCTTGCCAAGGGTCCAAATCTTTCTACACATTCTAGACTCTTGCTGGACTACTATTCTGGGAGTATCCATGGCCTGGGGTCTGGGGCATATCTGGGTAACCCAACTTCTCAAGCAAGGAGATTTAGAAGTGAAAAATGAAATTCTCACGCAGGAAACATTTCCTGAGACCGAAGCCTGTCTACACGTGGAACATTCTGTGTAGAAGTCTGAATTCAACAAAAATGAACGAGAACTCTATTCCATTATACCGCTTGCGTAGTTCTAGCTCACTTGACCCAAAGCCCCTTTTTGTAATCATTCTGAGCATCTAGGCCAGTGCAGTAAGCCTGGGCTTTGCAGTACGTTTTCATCATGGGGTTCCCTGACTGTTGGAACCGATCCACACGCACGAACTCATGAGTAGTTTTTTTTGATGGTTGAACCCAGTAAGATTATACCCAAGAGGAGGATATAGTCTTACTCTATATTGGGTACCATAGTAATAATATCCCCAAATCACAAACTACTCTCATAGCGTTTGGCCCACAGAAGCCTTTCCCCTCATATTCCTTTGGAAACTACCAAATCGGCAGTTGTACTGAACGTTGTATTGTTGTGGGAAGCCTATTATCTTGCAGTACTACTCTCACTACAGCACCCTACATTGTACTGGTCCTGAAGAAGACTTTGATCTGTGCACCGTTAGCCCGTACTCCCTGAACCACAAAGCCTAAACCCCTGCAACCCAAAACTCCAAACCCTAAATATCAATCGAAGCAGGGTGCTCCCTCGAAGTGCTCCTTGAGGTAGCGGTAAACCTCCATGACCTGGTTTAGGGGATCAAGGGCTTAGGGCTTATCAGGGTTTTGAGGTTACTGAACCCTAAGCCCTAAACCTCCTAAAGCCTAAAGCCTCAACCCAGGGTGGCCAGCCTCAAAAGCTGTGCATCGAACCACCCCATCCTTCAAATGGGGATTTCTCAAACTTAGGGGTACCTTTTTTGGGGCCCCCTATAATAAGGATTAGAATATTTTGGGGTCTATATTGGGGTCCCCTTGTTTTGGGAAACTACCAAATAAGGACCACGCCCAGTTGAATTCATAATATGATTTATGGTTCTCATGTACGGTCTCCGCAATAGACACCCGTCAATATTTAAAAGGAGCCTTATGTCCACTCACCACAAACCCGAATAAATTCCCAACAATATACTGGGTTGCTGTTCAGGAACTCAATTTAAGTTACTACATTGGGGGAATCATAATATGTACTAAATATACAAAGATATGTACACATTATGGTAACCTAATTTAAGTTCCTGAACAGCAACCCAACATATTCGGGGAGATTTATCCTTAAACAAGTCTTAGGTTTCATGGTGAGAAGGGAGGTGAGTGGGGGCATCTAGTAGACAAGGTTGGTGGGTTTCTGTACCTTGTAGCTAGGAAATCGTGACATCAAACCGATTTCTTAATGATGGCATGTCAAAAGTCGGAGTTCCCAAAATACCGTCACAAGCTAATTTTTCATGTTATAGGGGCTCAAAAAACGACCGCCAATTGGTGGAAACCTCACCCTTCCAGCCTGAGCCCTAATCCCTCAATTTTTTTAATTTCCTATAAAATCCCGACAGCCCCTTTAAAGGCCAATTTTCAGAAAAGCCCCTTGCGAGGCCCTGGCGGTGTCTCTTCTTCGACAGAAAACAATGATGGTGGCCTCACAGTTGGCATCGATACTTGGAGGTCCGCGGTTTGGGGTTAATGTTGCACCCACGTTTGGGCGGCTGCGCGCTTCAATGTCAAGTTTTCGGGGGGGATTACTCAGGACAGGGATATGTTTGGCGTACCCCCTTCAATGTCAAGTTTGGGGGGCCAAAATACATGGTTTTAGAGGTTTGAGGCAATAAAACACCTAGTTTTAATAGGTGTATATTGCTCATAAAGTAAGGTCAGAACTTACGGGCACCTAATTCCTAAAACCGTACTAAGTGCTTAGAAACACTGAAAAGCCAGGCGCTCAGCTGAAGGGCACACTAATACTAATAATACTTACAACATTAGGATTCAGTTCGGAGCCTTAGCAATTTTTTGATTCAGGACGCTCTAGATTGTTTGGGGGCCCACACTAAAGCAAGTGCAACATTAGGGGTTTATAAGACCTAGGGGTGTAGGGTTTCGGATTTTAGGGCTTTGGGGGTTACTTGGAGGCCTACGGTACTTGATAACTTCAACTTCCCCCCCACCTCAAAGAATACAACTACCCCAGATATAACTGCTAGATGTACATTCGGTTGTGGGAGGGTTGCAGGTAAACATGTATACATCCCCATGACGTGAGTTTTGGCTTTTTGCGAGTGGTTCATAACACATGTCGTTCGTAATTTATATGACGAGAAGAAATCGTGTGAGCTTTCACAGAACTTGTGAAGCTGTGTGAACTTGCGCAATTGTTGCACTTAGCAAAAGATTTTCCTTGGAGGTCAAGGGGCGGTGCAGCAGTGATTGGTTTTCTGAGACGGGATAGGACTAACCTGAACCCCAAAGCGTCCAAACCTCATTATTCACACATGGATTGAATCTCATCACATCAGCCTCCTCAAACTCGCGCGACTCCAGGATCATTCGCAACCTAAGTAGACTTGTTTGGTTTTTTAAAAGATAGGTCGTCTACACCGGGACCTCTAATTTCTGAAGCTCCCACCTGTTGTAAGAGGTCTGGCAGGTGGGGACGAAGCCAGCTTGCCTTCCTTTGTTCTGGGAATAATGGCCAATCAAGTGGAAAATAAAATTGAAACTGGGAGAATACTGGGGATTAGATGGTGGTACTAACAATCTTGCATGAGCCAAAGTACCTTGTACCTTGGGAATCAGGAAATATGGCGTTAGAGTATACTTAGGTCAGGCAGGATTTTGTATCAACAGTAGTGGGCACGTCCGCTATGGGGGTTTCGCGCGAAATCATGCGTTTGGGTGGTCTCAATATTATCTATAGTCTAAAGTCCTAGTATCCCCGTACTAACCCTTAGAATAGCCCCGTATTTAGTCAAACGCTGTGGACTATAGCTCATACTGTATGTACCCGGAGGAAGACAACTACGCTTGGGGCATCTGAGCGCCGCATGAGGGGACCTCAGTTGTGTAGCGCGTCTTTGTGGGTAGTTCTGCGTAATTAGAGCACACAGTAGCACCAAAGTCAGTGAGAGCTGGGGGCAAAAAAGGCTACGAGATGGAGAAGGGTCTTTGTCTATGGCTGCTTGACACAGACTGCGTACAGCACTGCAACGGACTTTTGCTTTCAAGCTGAGTCTGGATGGTACTAATAGGCGGCGCGCCAAAAAGCTACGACCATTGATGGCTATGCCCTACCAAAGCTTCCAGTGAAGACTCTACTAAAGGCGAGAAGAAATGCACAAGCACTTCCAATCCCACGTATGTAGCCATGAACTTTCGTAGATCTTGGGGCTAATAGAGCCTGAAAGTACAACAAACTTAGCCCAGTAGAAAATTACAACTCGGAATTGGTGATATGGTTTGGGTTTATACCCGTTGTATAGGTAGTGAGGACCCTTTGTGTGTCAATGAACCATGAAACTCATAGCCCAGCTCTGAGCTTACATGCCTCGTAGTACCTGGACCAAGACCGCGCAGCCGGAGCCTCGGTGACGTTTTGTCTCTGCTTCCACACGGCCAGCTTGGGCATCCTGTTGTTCCATCGTGAGATGATGCTGCTCAGCCAGACAGTTCGGATATCCACATACATCTGGCCAAGTTCAGCATCCGCGCTTCGTATCTCTTGCGATTGAAATTTTGAAGGTCGCCACAGCTGCATGATGATGTTCAGCAGCATCCCAGCTGCAGAGCTACGCTTTGCAGTTGCTCCGCTGCGCATTCGGCGCTTGGCCTCAGCGTGGGGTCCGTGGCCACTAGTCCTCTGATGTAGTTTGCCATTGAGCATGGCAGCGTCTGCAGCTCCTCTAAAGGGATTTGAAATAAGGCAAGGTACATTGAATCTGGGCCTGGTGGGGAAATCACGTCCAGTAACGTCTGCCCCAGACTGTAGATGTCCGTGTGCGTATCAAAAGGCCAATTCTCCAGGAGCTCGGGAGATGCAAGCCTTACATTTGCTCTTCTCTGCAGCTCCCTTGCCGAGCCCCTTTCCGTGGCTGAGCCAAAATCGGCAATAGCAGGCTCGCTGTTTCTTTTGAACAAAACATTCTCGGGTTTCAAATCAGTGTGGATGATGTTGCAGTTGTGCACAAATGCCAGTCCGCGGAGGACTGCAAGCATCACCTGCAAAGCTTGCGCGCTTGTCTGGGGCGCCGTGTCCATCCAAGTGCCCCCGGGGCAGAGTTCTAGCTTGCGGCCCAGCGTCGCTGTGGCCTTCTTTGAGTGGTAGAAACCCAAGAGTCCGAAAGAGCCGACCAGATTGTCCTTAGCCGTCTTCTGGGCAGCTCCAATAAATTGAACTTTTAGCCTTCATATGACAAAGACCATAGATAGATATAGAGAACCAAAAAGTTAAAGTCGAAACAGTCAGCCAGAAAACAGCCACGTCTCATGGCCTTTCAATTTTTCCAGGATCTCCTGCTCCCTGATGATGTCACCCTCGTGGGAATGGTTGATGCTCACTTTGAGACGCAGCCATCTGCGAAGTTTGGCATATGCCACACTTCGCAAAAAATTGCCTGTTCCCAAAAGTACAGGTTGCCTCTCCGACTGCGCTGCCCTGCTGGTCAAAAGGGCCGGGTTGTCAGGTGTGCTCCATGTCTTCCTGACCGGTTTCTTTGCCATGGTGCGTTGAGTCTTTGGTCCGATCAGCCACTGGGGGCTTCGGGGCCACCTCAGGGCTTCCATCGGGTCGAAAAAACAAGGCGTGTGCCGCACGGAATGCTGGCCCCTTGGCCAAATGCGGTATCCCAACCACCTCCCTTCCGGAAAATGAAAGTGGAGCCTTGAGCCCCAAAACCACCATCTCCACCTACGGGGGGAGGGGTGGATGGACCCTAAACCCTAAACCCTAAACCGTAAACCCCTACCCTAAACGCTAAACCCTAGGCCCGAAACCCTATCACTCACTTCTCTGACCGAGAGCCCAGCGTCTCCTGCTTGCTGCGCACCGCAGCGTCCGTGCGCAGGCTTGTATGATGAAGTCGTCCCTTCGCACTGAAACATGAGCAGATTTCAATAGTAGTTTCCATTCTCTTTTCCATTATCCCATATCCCTAATATTACCCCAACGGGTTCCTATATCCCCTCAAACCCTAAACCCCATGAGGAATGTGGGGCTTTCTATCCCTAAGAAAACTCCGAAAACCCTAAGCATGGAAAGACTGGGAGGAGGCTTTGGAGTCTGGGGCCCTGGGAAGGCCAACCCTACACCTTTAAATCATAAAACCTACTTGTGGCTTAGGGCTTAGGGTTATACACCTCTAAATCCTAAAGCCTGTTTAGGGTTTAGGGTTAGGCCATGCCTTCAGGAGCATCTTGCGCTGGAGGAGCTCCCCATCTTCAAACTGCACTCGCCACTTGCCTCGCTTTACGAGTCCGTGATTTGGGGGGAGCTTTGGCTTTTCTAGGGTTTGGGTTTAGGGTTTAGGGATTTTAGAGTTTTGGGTTTAGGGTGTAGGGTTTTTAGAGTTTGGGCTTAGGGTTTAGGGTTTTTAGAGTTTGGGGTTTACAGGGTTTAGGTTACTAGGAGAATCAGGTGGACTTAGTGAGCAAGTGATTGGGATAGTACAAGGCTTATAAGGATGAGAAGTGCGCATGCCGTATTCCTCTGGAACCTCCAAGCTGAGCTGACAAGATTAGCTTCCAAACATGGCTCTTGGGCCCTTACCAGTTTGACTGTTTAATTGGCCCTGAGTATGCGACCCCCTGGTTGGTCTTATTGAATTAAGCTATATCGTGCCCTGAACCCTGAACCCTAAATATCGTAGGTACACACGGAACCCAATCTTGGGCCCGTGTTGCCAAGCCCAGAAAGTAGCGAGCCCGAAACATACTCCTCATGTTGACATGCATGCAGTCACTTTGTGTTTTGTGCTAAATCCTTGAACGTCCTTGGCCCACATCCTAACTAAACCGCGAACCAGAAAGCCTCTCTCTCGACATATATATATATATATATATGTATATTTAGGGCTGTATGTAACGATAAAATAAAAACTCTTGTCTAATCGCTACTAGGTGGGCAGAACGCACCCCATGCCCGAAGCCCCTAAAGCCACATGCTACGCCATGCACCGAGCTATCTGCGGCCGACCCGAAACTCAGCAACGCCGCGCCTGGCCACATTGTTTGCTGTCAAATGCAGTGTAGCGTTTAGGGTTTTTACCAAATGCAGGTCGTTCAAAGTGGGTCTAGGGATGTAGAAAAGAGGCCTACAAAGTTACCAGTAGATGGTGAAGTCTAGTTGAGATATTTTTTACTACAGCTGTGCATGGAGGCTGGGACAGCAATACTACATCATGACGCGTAGGCCTTAAAAGAGTGTATCGTGGACGTATATACATGCAGGGTCTAGGCTGGAAAGAAGGTGTAGTGATGTATGGGGTTTACGTTTAGGGATTACAGATTAGGGCAGTGGTGCTCTAATCACAAATGAGCCATGATCTAAACTCCTAGCATCGCCCTTAATATCCGCTATAGTAGTCCGCTATACAATCCCTTATATACCGCCCCTTTAAGGAGTTATTATAATTGAAATGAGGCCGTAGGGGTTTAGGGTTGATTTGGGATGGCTCTCTCAAGAAGTAGGAAGCTGAGGAACCTTTGGGATACATAGGTGACACCCTAAACCCAAAACTTACCGGGGGTTAGTAGTGAGCATGGGAACTTATCTCATTTAGGGATTCTATAGGGATTCTATTCCCTTTTTTCCCTACTAACCACTAGTAAGTGAACAGATTTCCTGAAGGATTATGTAGGGACTGTTTTGGAAAACTCCCATGCGAGTTGCCAAGCGCATCGCGGTTTTGTCTTGAACATAAAATTGCTCGACAAGAGCATCTACGTTTCTGTCCATACCTCAGTCTACAGACTATTAATACAGGGAAATTAACAATCCCTGTTAACAATGCCTACACCCCACGATGGGGAAGCCTGCTGCTTTTGGGTGGACGCTTTCGTTGACAAATGTTAAACCCGAGACCTTGAACCCTACTTTCGGCACCGCGTGCACCCAGGGCCCGTAGACCCACGGCGCAATGCCTAGGATCCAACTATCCCACCTCACCTTGTATAGCCAACTCATCGCCCGGTTCAATGTGTATCCCAACTACCACTGCTCTTGATGGACATCGGCAATTCACATGGTTCTCAGTAGGTTGTCCTTTCCTAAAAACACACAACAGCATGCAAACCCCTTTTAGGAACGACAGTGATCTTCACACTCTGGGTCTCTTTTTGGGGTGTCTGCGCTTGGCCTCCAAGTTCTCCAAGCAGTAGGCTGGAGCCTCCAACTACCACTTGGGTAGTGCCTTTTGTTGGTTGAGCCAGAAGCCAGGTTGTGCTTTTCATAAACGCTATAAGCAAAGGAGAGTATGATCTTACTCTGCTTCGGAGACTGTCCTTAGAGGTCTGAGCAATTAACTTAGCAAGTGAGTCTGCCAATCACAGGTACCCTGGGTATAAGTGGGTTATATGATAAGTACGTAGGTTACTGCTACAAGTACCCTGGACGTCTAAGTAAGATCCCCATTCAGATACTGAGATGCTCCCGAATCTTCCGACCCCAAACCCAAAACCCTGAAACCTTCAAATACTAAACCCCAAACCCTAAACCCTCATACCCTAAACCCTATACCCTAAACCCTCAATCCCAAACCGATTTCGGCACTGGCCTGCCACCCTTCGTGATCACGCGGTCTCCGGGTTGGAACCTGACGCAGAGAAAACCAGGTTTGAGGTTTGGGGTAAGCAAGGCCAAGATGGGGGTTGAAGGTCTTGTGCAAAACCATTTTTGGGGTTTAGGGTTCAAACTAAACCCAAGATTGGGGTTTAGGGTTTTGGGGTTCGGGATTTTAAGGTTTAGGGGTGTATGGTTTTTGCGTAAGATTTAGTGTAAGGACCCCTACTCGACACGAGGACCCGGTGACTGGTGGGCCTTGCCAAATAATCCTTGTCCGTGCGGGTTTTTCAATAGTGAAAAGTTATGGTTTTGAGTGAGGTGAAGCAAAGACTGATACGAGCACGTCAAGAGAAAGCTGCCTTCAATGTCTTCATGCCGTAAACAACCCTATACTAAACCCTACTACATTGGCTTTGGTGTATAGTAGCCGTGTCAACTATTAGGCCGACTACAGAGACCCGTATTGAACTGATAAGCCCTGCACGTCAATAGGATCCCAAGGGCATCTCAGTTGCGAGGAACACCTACATGAACTCACACCTCCACTTTCCGAGCCTGAAGACCCGAATAACCCTGAACTTTTGAAACATAGAGCCCAAGCCCTGAGCCATAAATCCTAAGCCTCAGGCTTCTTCCCTTGAACCTTAAATGTGTAGCCCGCGCTGTGTGAGTTCCGGACTCGCGAAGGGCGCGATGCGGAGGACGGGCGTCGATGAAGATGTGCGAGATGGTGGTTGGCTGCAGCACGGGGCTAGTAAGCAATCTATGGGCTGATTTCCTGTACAATTGAAAAACAATGCTGGCTCAAAAAGGGAGGGTTGTAACAGCCATGTGGCGTGACCGCAGCAACTGCCACAGCAACTTGGGGCTACAAAGAAAAAGAATATGGTAGACCTCTACGGACTGAGGTGCATAGTGCAAGTATTGACTCAAGTACAACACATGCCACATGCCGGTTCACTTGGACACCCAAGTGCCGCTGCCTGGTGAAACCAGAAGCGCAACAGCATGGTGAATAAGTCCGGCTGCCAAGCATCAACGCTGTAAGCATGAGAGTTTATGGAAGTCGAGGCTGTCATGAATGCCTCCGGTCAATCACTCGCTTGCATTCCAGCTGATGGCATGAACCGGCTAAGTACTGCTATGCTTCGCCTTTGTTCCTCTCACAGCTCCATTAGCGCTTTGTAGGCCGCCCAGCCAAGACTACTTAACAGAACCATCCCACTATAGCAGCTACTATAGCAGCTCCCAGAGACCCAGTACGTACACCGAACGCCATAGTCTAAACTCCTTGTATCCCCGTCAATAACCCCTATAGTAATCCCCTATATAATCCGTCTAAGGAGTTTAGACTATAACTCATATTGCATGCTTCTGAGCGCCCAACCACCGGATTGGTCTGCCCACCAGTGCAATCCACCCATGCCTTTCATGTTCAAAGGCGACCTCCCTAAACCGCTGTAGGATTTACCGTGATGGG